GCCGCTACGCATATGGGTCTTTTTCCGCTCTCCTGCTCCCCACGGTTAGTCCCTTTGGACGTCCGTGACAATAGTGTCCCTGTCACTATACTGGGGCACTAAGACCCATACAGACCGCAGGGTGAGCGCCCCCTGCCAGCCCCTACACAAAGAATATTAAGAGGGATGAAATATTGTATTTCTGGTGCTACTGTATCTCTATAAGCCATTTACTGCGCATTCTTACCCAGTAATGTAATTGTCAGTGAAATATTATCAGAATTGTCCTTCTGTTGGTTAGAATTCATACTTGTTTAGTTTTTGAGCTGTAGAGCTCGTCAATTTAGATATGCAACTGTGAAGTGTGAACTATGATTAGTCCACGATGTAGCCTAAGAACAAACTTTTCACATACTCACTGCTTGTGAAAAATGATAAAATACAGACTCATCAGGAGAGCTCAGGCCAAAATGAAATCTCTGGATCAAAAGTGTTAAATACAGCCTTGGCATACCTTTGAAAGGTGAAAGCCATTTCTTATGGCACATATAGTATACCAAAATCTCTGTAAACTCTTACATTTACAATTAACTGTACTATTGCAAGAATTCTAATTTTACTATACTTAATTCTGATTACTGTCATATGATCAGAACACATAATAAGCACTAAATATCATATACCAATAATTAAACAGATATGCAGACATAAAAATTGATAATATACAGCACCACAATCCTTAACTTGTCACGGATAGTAGCTAATCCACATCAATAATTATTTCTCCATGATGCCAACCCGTTCACTTTGGGAGTCTGGACTAAGCTGTCCAAATCCAATGTCCTTGTTTCTTTCAAGAAACAGCTGGATCAGATCCTCCTGTCAGGGCTGGAGGACTGGAGGCACTACTTTACAAAAAGCATTGTGGGAGTGTGGAACAAGCTACCCAGGAATGTTGTTGAAGCCAAAGCCCTAGTTACTATCGAGAAATGGCTGGGTGAGATCAAGCCAGACCATGTGCTACTGTTTGGAGAATTCTGGGTACAGCTGGTAAATGGCACAGGAAGTTCATTTACAGCACGTCAAGATAGTGTATTGAAGGTCCATGAAGACCATTTTAATTCTCAATATTTACAACTGAAAAAAAATGTATTTGGATATATTTTCCATCTAGAATATGTACAGTATGTTGACAGAAAGAACTGTACTCTAAAATAACACTGGCTAAAGTTGATTCTTTCTGCGAGATCAAGTTATCATAAGGATGTCTGACATACCTAGACTCAACAGAAGCCTGTTCTGAATTGCCTTTGCTTATCAACCTGACCATTCCTCCTGGAGATAACACAGGGAAGCTAGATAACATTCCCCTTTCATATTTTGAAATCAGTATCTTTGCATCCAGCACTGCCCTGTGGAATTTGATTACTCAGTGTGCTGGGAAAGTATAGATATCAAATGGATAAACAAAACGAAAGGTTCATGGAAAGTAACACAGATAAATGATTCTTCAAAATCCCACATTCCTGGACAAACATATAAATAATAGTTCAGGCCAAAACTTACCAAATATACATTTTTAGTTGTTTTTTTGTAGAAAGCAATTTGGAAAGTGTAAGCTTTCCAAAACTTTAGATTTTATATATATAAATAAAAAGGCAAGACAAAGCACCGACCCTCTACAGTCTATCTATAGTTTAAAGTTCAAAAGTACAAATTTAGACACCAGCATTTGATTTTTTTTAAATAAGCAACAATCAGTTGCAATCAGTACACAACGTGGAGTGAGGGAATAGGAAAAATGTGGCATGTAACAAACATTTCTCAGGCACCGTTCAGTGCTTAGAGACCTTTTACACTCTCCCCTCTGAAATCCCCACTAAAACACTGTAGCAACATTGCCTGACAGACGTTGGTCTCAGTAATACCAAGTCACCCCACTAATGTCATGCATGT